TTAAATCTTTCAGCCCCAGCCGAGGTTACGACTGTTGTGTGTTTTTAAACTGTTTGTCTTTTTATTTTTATTTTGTACCCCCCTTCCCCTTTCTGATTGTTAGCCGCCCTGAGTCTCTCGGGAATAGGGTGGCATACAAACTGAATAAAATCTTAATCTTAAATCTTGATATTTCCCCGAAAATAAGACAGGGTCTTATTTTCTTTTGACTCCCGAAATAAGCACGTGGCCTTATTTTGAGGGAGGTCTTATTATTTTTGAGGTGCAGTAGGAGGCAACAACATGGCTGTTGTTGTGTTGTAATATTTTTGAGGAGGGATTATTTTGGGGGAGATGGATTATTTTATCATATGCGCTCAAAAGCCCAATTGGTCTTATTATCTAGGGAGGTCTTATTTTTGGAGAAACAGGGTATTTATGAATAATTCAGAAATTGTGAATAGAAATTGTGAATTTCTAATGTCCTATCAAGAAGTTATTGCTACTGTATGTCACATCAAACGAGCGATACTCTGTGAAGTGCTTCACAGATGTCAACTATTTTTCTCTTCTTGTTTGCTTCTTTTGCAAAACTGCATATATCACATACATTAAATTCCATACACTCCTCCATTCTTTTAAGAAAATGTTATCTGTGTCCTACAATCCCTCTCGGCCTCCAGTATCATAAGCCCAGTAGATAATCAGGATCTAAAAAGCACTTCCCAAGTGCTGCAAAATATGCAGACATTTAAAACGGAAGGGAAGACCTCCAAAATATGCTAACAACTGGAATTTTACTAAACACATGGCTTTGCTTATAGATACAATTTACCCAGTTCCTTAAATTTGGAGCAATAGCAAAAGCAATGGCTAAAAGTACCTTAATGAAGAAACACTGCACCATCTCTAACAATAACATATACAAAGAATGATGATTACTCAACAGATTGGTCTGTTTGGACTTGTTGATTTCCAGACCCTGTCAGATAGAAACTTCAGAAGATTGAAATAACTCGTATAGTTTTCCCTATTGTTATCTAAGCTTCTGTTCTCTTCTTAATATATTTTTCACAACTGGAAAGTTTTACATGGATCAAACTAAGATTGGTGCAAATCACTGTTTCCTATTTCAGTAGTAGCCATCTCTTTGTGTGCATATGCAAACTCATATTTATTTGAAAAGTTTTGTGATTAAAGAAACTAATTAAAAGAAAGTTGCTTCATCTGAACATGGAAAGGTATGCACCAACCATCCTTCTCTTGCATATGTTTCTGATAACTTTAGAATATCTGCAAGTTAAGAATGCTTGGAGAAAAATATATCTGTCTGTGTTCAGAAGAAGCAACTTTCTTCTAATTAGTTTCTTTTATCACAAAACATTTCAAATAAATATGAGTCTGCAGATGCACATAGAGATACATGCACAAATGGCCATTTTTAGAGTGCAGCAGAATGATATGGCCCCAACAGTGTGTTATTAATGATTATTATGTTTTATTAGGTCACAGCAGTCAGCACGATATATGACAAACAATAATTTACTCTTCACTGTCCTTCTGAGTTACTGAATTTGCATTCAGCCTTAACCATAACTGATTTTGGCACCTTCAAATGAAGAATCATCCATGATCATTTGCATTAACTCAAGTTGACCCTTTCCGGCAGCATGATGCAATGGTGTAGCATTCAGCTGATCCAGTTTTTTAAGTCCTTCACGATTCTTCTTAATGAAACTTCGAAGTCTGCAAGTATTTCCATCTGAGATCACCTAATTGAGATTTAAGCAATTTTAGTCTGGTACCACAGAAATTCCAAATTATATTAATGTTTTTAAGTAGCTCTTTATTATGCAATATGTTGACAGTGAATTATTAAATATTCATCCATCACTACAAAGGTTCATCGACTATACTTATAGCAGAACTGCAGTTATTTAACATGACCTTTGATCTAATTACTACAGTTTATTTTATTTAGGTCTAAAAGGATCCTGGGAACATGATAATAATTCTGCTGAGTTAGGTCTAGCCCGCCTAGATAGCGCCTCCCTCAGAAAGTATTAAATTTCTATGCTGAAGCATATTTGATGGAATATTAAGTAATACAACAATTGGATTGCAGAAAAAGCTATATTTTAGCATAAGGTAATAGGACATTAAAGTGTATTATATTAAGAAAACAAAAATTCCAACTGTTATAAATGGCAAAAATATGTCAATGAAGTTCGTTTTAGATTACATTTTGAAAAAAAACCAGCTTTTTATGGTCCGACTGTATATCCAAATTATAATCCACTCTTCTAACAATGTTATATATGTGGTTGAAATCTCAATATAAAATGTGGAATACAGACACATCTATTTATCTATTACAAACATTTAGGATGATTATCAGAATTCTCTAGAATATTTTAATAATCAATTTACTGTTGAGTATAGTAAATTATTTAATTTACTATTAATATTTAATGTTAATACTATTCTCCAGAACGACTTGGTACAAAAATTAAATACACTTAGTTTGTCAACAATTAAAATTCAACAATGGAACACTAAAAATACTGGAAGCACAATGAAAGGTTAGAATGTTGGCTTTAAGGCTACTCCATGTTTTGAATAAAAATGATATATAGTAGAAAATTTCAGCCAAAAAATTATTTTAATTTAAAGCAAAGGTTTCACAGATTTTTAATGAATAGCACTAGTTTTCAAAACACACTAAGTAAATATAATTTTTATTTGCTAATTGTTTAATTCCCAGCCTCGGTGTTTCATTAATGTACAGCACATCACTGAGTCATCATCCAACATTTATTTAAATGTTAATAAACTGCCCCCAGAGATCCGGACCCTACCCACTCTCATGGCCTTCCGAAAGGCTATTAAGACCTGGCTATTCCGGCAGCCCCTGGGCTGTTGAACTCATGACTGAGTTCCAGCCCCGATTGACTGGGTGTATGTTGTGGTCTTTTTTAATCTATGTTTCTGTATTTTTAACTTTTCTATTTTTTAAATGTATTGTTGTAAGCCGCCCGGAGTCCTTCGGGATTGGGCGGCCTATAAATTTATTAAACATCAACATCAACACCAACATTTGCCAGTTTCGAAGTGTTAAGTTAGATTCAGTAGATGCTGCCTTTTCTGCAACCAACCATTTGTAGATTTTCCAGCTCAGTGAAACTTTCACTGCCTTTATTAAGCCATTACTTTTGGCATGGCTTTAGATGAAAGATCTCAACATCAGTCCCCAAAACAGAAAACTGATCTTGGAAGCCTGAAATCTAACTTAACACT